CAAAAAACATTCGCAATGTTTGCTTCACACAATAATTCCGGTTGACTAGACCAAATTCGAAAATTATGAAAGTCTAGATATATTTATTGAGATGTGTGTAAAAAAAAAAATACAATCTACATACATATGTTTACGTCTCGTCTTTCTATACAAAATCTCATCAAACTAACAACAGTAAAGAAAAGCAAAACATTTCAAGTCTGAAGGCGGAAATTCACAAAAATAGAATAAAACAAAAACTGATATATTCGAGAAAGAGCTAAACCAAAAAAAAAAAAAAAAAATAACAAAAATAAAATTAAATGTTGTCTGGTTTAGCTGTGTTTTTGTTTTGATGATTACGAATGATCATTCGATGATGAAGTTCAAGAAGATAATGATGATCATCAGCATCATGACAAATAGCTGTAAAGGCATAACAAAAACATCAACAACAGCAACAACCACGGCGTAGCAGCTGTCGCTGCATTCGTATGTGGTCTGCCCATAATATCAGAGCGCAGCCAATAGCCACAGTGTGACCAGCCAATCACATAGGCAGCCACAGACACAGGCACACCCACTGCATACACACTCGCATACATGTACAGATTTGTGCATGCACGCATGCAGCAGCAATGACAATAGGCAGACAAGGTAAAACAAAAAGAACAAAGTTAAAGATCCCAAACGAAATACATACGTACATGCATATCTAGAAATATTAATAAGTCATTAAACTTTATAGAAAATAGCAAAAAAGAAGGAAACAAGTAAATATAAATCACGCGATTGTAAACCAATGTATGTCACACGCAAAGCAGACGGGCGAACAAGAATACCGAGAAGAAGTAGCAACAGCAGTCAGCATAATTTTCGACAGCAACAACAACAAGAACAATAATGAGAGTAGCAGTAAAACAATGAAGCTCAAGTGCAAGTACATGTGTGTGTGTGCGTGTGTTGATGTTGTTGTTGTTGTTGTGTTGCGTTGTGTGTGAGAGTTTAGTGTGTTAAATACAGGGTGCTTTGAATTATACATACATAGCAATGCAGCAGCGGAGGCCGGCGCCGGCGTTGCCTGACGGCCAGTGCTGCCACCAAATCGCGTGGACATTGTCGCCGTTGTTGTTGTCGTCTCACAGCATTGAGCCATTACTGTTGCTGTTATTATTACAGCGCTGCTTCTGCAGCGCACTCGTGCTGCTAGCGCTTCCTTTGATACTTTTGCGTTTTGCAAACAAAGCTGATACACACATACACACTCACACACCAATATATAGGTATATTGAGAGAGAGACACGAAAGTGAAGAAAAAAAAATATAACACAAATACAGTTACACCACAGTTCACATATGGACACAGCTAGCTCGCATGTGTGTGTGTGTGCTTCGTCTGCATATGTGTGTATGTGTATATATGTGTGTGCGTGTTTTAAGTCTGCTTGATCCGCGCTACGCACAAAAAGGTAAACGAAATTTGATCAGACAAAATTCCGACGCGCGCAAATGCGTTCCGCACACGTCGCTTGTCAAAATAAGAATGAGCAAAACAGCAAAAAGCAGCGAAAAATGGCACGCGAACGATCGTTGCGACGGAGACGCTGGCGATGACGCGTCGTCACTATCAATCAACACAGTGCTAGTGAAGCGCACATAAAATAAAGCTAGAATAAATACTTATTTCGTTATGTTATATTACATTATATGTAAACATATATATATATATATATATATATATATATATATATATATATGCATACATATTTATATCAATTTGCATTTCTTGACATAATACATTTACACACACATTTATGTATTTAACATTTAGAGATGAGTTCATAAAAACAGCTAGATTTGGCACATGAAAATAGCTAGTATGCGCAGCCCTCTCTGTTGTGTTTTCTCTTGCAGTCAGTGCTGCGCCGCTGACCGCAGGGGCAATGCGCATATGAAGAAGTCAGTTTCATTGTACATTTTATATGTGAACTGCAGTATTCGACATGCCGAATTATTGCATAAAACATATACTCACACACACCACATACATATGTAAAACATTTAGAAATTCACATTGTATTCAAAAATAATGAAAATAAAAACAGCTAAATAACGCACATAAAAAAGCTAATTTGCGCAGCACTTTGAAGGCGATTGCGTTGTCGAAAAAGTTGTTAATGCGTGGATTATGAACGGTAGCAGCACTGCCAGCGATACCGCTATAAATGTGATAAGAATTCGCGCAACGCGTGTCCCATGACGAAAACAACGTCTATTGCACTTGCCCCACACATACAAACACTGCTTGTAGATATGTAAGTGTGTAAGGCTTTATATTTCCTAATTTAATTAGCACATTTTAGTACAGGTGACAACAATGTTGCCGTTCTTGTTGTCGTTGTTTTGCCTTACTATTTTTTCCTTAAATGCAACAGAGAGCTATATTATGCAATTGGTATTCAAATATATACAAGCAAATATTTATATATATATATATATTTTTAGCTTTCATACCACTATGCATGGAATGTTATTTTTCTTTTTTTTTTTTTTTGCCTATTTAATATTTTATTTGTTGCCAAATTACGCAAATCGATAATGAAAAGTTATTATACAAAACGTAAAGAGATGAGAGAGGAAGTTGCGGAATTGTGCGCAACAATCTAATGAGAAATGCAAAGAGTGTGTGACCGAAAAGCAACTAGTGTGGAGAACTAGGCTTTAGCTCTTTCTCTCTCTCTCTCTCGCTTGCTTTCACTTGACTTTACAGCAAAATCATTACTTTTGCATGTAATGTGTACGCAGTGCAAGAAGAGCCGAACCACTATGCAAGACAAGGCGAAGCAAACTTAAGCATGTAAACCAATGCAAGAGGTGCCGAAACACTATGCAACATGTGTTAGACAAAGAGCAGCAATAATGGCCTTGACAATGTTGTGCAGGTATAACAATAAAGGAAAAGAGCATCGAAAGCTGCAAACTGCGCTTTAGCGCCAGCTTCACGTTCAGATCCAATTTGTCCTCATTCTAGCTGCAAGCTCTCGCTGCTAGGCAGCACTTTTTTCCATTATCTGACGTCATAAACTGACAGATTGGAATTCGAAGTAGAATAGAAAATTAAACGAGATAGGCAAATATTTTTTTGCGTTCGTCTCCATTCCGAAAACTAGATTTCGACTGAATTCAAATTCCCAGAAGGAAGGAAATGTTTTTTACTTGAACATACTCATACATGCATAGAAGAAAACATGTGTTTATCTTGCATATTTATTACATTGCAATTAAATGACATTCTAGAGCGAAATCAAACAGCCAACAACTGGTAAACGGCAACTTCTCTGGTAAAGCTAAATAAATTTCAAGCTGAGCCATTTTGTTGTTGTTGAAAACAAAAAACGAGTTTGCGCGCTAAAAAAAAAAAATAAATAAATAAATAAAACAAAAGTTCTTTTTATCAACACGAATCGCGCGCGAGGCATTTGAATGCGGAAAAGCGCCAAAAGCCGCACGCGCTTCAAATGCAACTCTGTCAAAGCTTTTACGGTAAAAACATTCTTGAATGTGTAAGAGAGACAGAACGAAAGCGCGTTTGGCAAAGAGCGCGTAAGAGTTAAAATATGAGCACAAAAGAGCGATAAAAGAGCTGAGGTGCAAGATGAAATGTCATACAAAATTGAGAATTGAGAAACAAAATTGCATAAAATACAAAAATTTACTTATGTATACAAAATTTAATGAATTAATATATGATAATAAAGATTTTAAATTAAAATTGAACAAAAAATAACTTAACAGCAAAGAGAATGCAATAACAAAAACCAAAGAGCGCCAAATTATTTACATTAAATTGACATAAAAAGCCGCAGCATGCAATTAATGAAATTTTGATTTTCAACTTGTCATAGTGTTTTTCTGTTGTGTGAGATAGTGTGCGTGTATGCATGTGCGTGTGTATGTCTGTTTCAAAAGGAAAACATCAAAAATATCAACGAATTCGAATGCATCTCTTACCTTTTCTTTCTTACGCGGTGAAAAGCTTGTTGCTCTGCCTGCTGGCTGAGTTTTTAAAACTTTTTCACGTTTTCGCTCGTTTACTCTCAGCCGCACACATACACTTGCACAAATACAGACACAAGCGCAGCAGCCACGCAGCGAGAGAGAGACACCGAAAAAAACACACACACTTTTTGTTGTTGCGCACTTAACAAAAAAATATGAAAATAATACTGTATTGTTAATTATTTGTGCTTATTTGTTTCAATTTAATAAGTTGGCTTTATTTTATTTTCTTTGCTTCTATGTACTAATTTGCGCGCTTTTACAACTTCCACTACTGCTGCTTCTTCCGCTTTTCTTCTGCTGATGCCACTACTGCCACTGCTGCTGGTTTTGCCAACACTTTTTTGGCGAATGTCTACGATGAGAAGATATCGACTGAACGCAGCTCAACGACGAAAATGATGGCGACGGCGACGGCGACGACGAAAACCACGACGGCGACAACGACAACAACACCGAAGACGAAACGGAGCAGAAGTAACAACAAGAGCAGAAGCAAATAACAATCAACACAAACTTGTCCACTTGCATAGAACCATTAATAAATAAATCATTATACATCATTCACTTTTGCACTTATACATCATTCAATATGTATTTCATTGTATTCTGCTACAAACACTTTTTGACCGTTACTTTTTTCATGGCGCACATTTTTGCAGTGCAGTGCACTTAACTATATGATAACTGGTGTACTGTAAAAAATGGCAAAAATTTAACAGCACCAATACATATGTAGACGCTGGAGACGACGACGACACACGCACACTTACATGTGTATGTGTAGTTGTATACGCTTATATATGTATATAAATATATTTATGTATGTCCATACTTGATTCCCTTTAAAGAATCCAAAATGTCCTAACTTACATTCGAACTTAAATCGTATTTTACTCTACCTCCTACCATCCACTCTTTTTCATGATTATTTGGGGGAAACTTTATATGAACACACTTACCGCTATGCAATTGCAGTCCGAATCCGCAAGAGTGTCAACATAACAATTTGTGTGTGTGTGAGAGAGCTGCGACAGTGGATGTGCTTTCTTGCTGTTGTCGTTTTTGGTGCTTGTTCGCTCGCTCACTCGCACACACACACATACATACACACACACACAGGAGCACTTCAGCGGCAAAAATTCTCAAAAAAAATAAAACAAAAAAAATGTGAACGCACACACGCACACAATATTAACATCTGTATGTGTGATATTACCGATTTTTGTTATATACGAGAAGATATACAAAAAAAAAAAAAAATAAATAAATAAAAAAAAAAATTGTATCAAGTTCTTTTGCCCGCAAATTGCAGTGCGAGAGCACAATCAACAAATTATTAACTTCTCCGCGGACTACAAATTCACTAGTAGAACTACTATATATTGTCTTTATTTCTGTGTTTCTGTGCTGTTCTTTTCATAAGAAATGTACAATTCGCTATTTTATTCAACTGCGTTTGTATATTTAAAGTTCAACCGAACGATGCGCTATGTGCAGCACACACACACAGGCAGGGACCGACCGTCCCACATACACATGTACGCACGTACACCGACAAACACACACGACAGCGGAGTAAAAAGTATTTTTTTCTTATTTGACGCAACTGGCGGATTCTTTCAATTCGTTCGCTATTGTAATCGAGCCACTCATGAAGTTTTTGCTGCAGCAGCCACAATGGCTAATTCAAAGATGTTTTGCAATTCGACGACCAAATTACAATTACGACAAAAAACTAGTAATAGAGCAAAAAAAAAAAACCACAGTCTATTAGAGACGTCGATGTTGGGCTGACTGAAGCTATCGATTGTTATGTATCGGTTAGCGATATGTGCACTTGTTAAGAACGGACACACACATATGTATGTGCATTGCACATGCACACACATAATCGATAGGCCAACTTAGTGCTACATGTGCGATATTTCGATAAAAGAACATCGCAAGCTCGGGCACACTTAATAGGGCACGTCACAGTATAATTTGTTTTTGTTTTCGTTTTTTTTTAAGCTACGCACATCAAAATGGTAATGTTTTGTGTGATTTATAAAATTAAATAATAAAATTCATTGTTAAATGTCTTGCAGAGTGCATTGTTCAATTTTCAAAGCTTATTGTCGGTCATATTACTGTTAATATGCACCTGTGCCTATTTGCGCTCACTTTTCCCCAGCATCATTGATCGCAACAAAACTGGGTAAATGCTTTAAGTTTAAACAATTATAAAAAATCTAATTGATTCAATTACACATGCATATTGCAGGTTGCTGGGCACATTTTGGAAACTAGCGCGAATCGGCGAACGAAAGTCCCCTTGGGTTGGAGCCGCTTGCCTGCTAATGGCTTTCACCGTTCTGTTTTGGAGTTAAGGTTCAATAAATATAGCATTATGATTGGCATTCTGTAGGCTTTAGTACAACTTGTTCATATGTACATTTTTCTACTCTATATTAATGTTAACGCAAACCGAAAATAATTTTGCAAACTGCAATATTTTGTTTAGTACTTGTCTGAGTGTGACCTTGCTGTGCTAAGCAACAAAATGTTTGGCTGCAGCATGCCGGTAGCAAGGAGTGCTTTTATCTCTTGCGAACAAGATGCTAAATACGCTGTACTGCATCCATATATGGCTAGAAGTTATACATACAGAAAATCCAATTTGGGTGAAACATGGAGTAGTTTTTTTTATTATCATCTCCATCACCGTTTATTCAGTGTGACTTTGTTGAGATAACTAATGTCAAATACCAACATGCCGGCTAGAAAAGATGGCAATCCATAACTTACCCGTGTTTCCAGGTCTGAAGTCTCAGCGGTTGCTACACTTTATAAGTTAAATTAAATTTCAACAAATTTAACTGGGAAACTGCACAGTTAAGCTGTTCAAAGTAATTAGATTTGCTCTAGGCCGTTGGTTGGAATTTGGCAGTGTGACCTTGCTGTGTCTAGCACAGTAATGTCAAAGTGCACTCTCCAGCAAGCCGGCTGCAAATAATTCTTATTGCAAATTTCACAAATTGAAATTGAAATGTCCACTAGCCAGGAGGCACTGCGTGAGTATGTAGCTAAGAGCAGAGCGCAACTGCAGCAACTACTGCAACGGCTCAATTGGACGGAGGAAGGCGTGCAGAAGGTAGGTTCAGCTTCATCAGCTGAAGCAAAACTGATTTGTTTGCTTATTTAGTTGCATCGCCCGGTGTCCCAACCAGACGAAGTCGTCGTCGAGCAGCTGCCACCAAGTTGCTGCACTGCAGCAGAGCACAGTGTACAGTTAAATGCTACACTGCTGCAGCAACTGTTGCCAGGCAAACAGCTCACTCCAGTTGATTCTTTCGCGGATTTGCAATTGAACTATAGCTCCCAAGAGAAGCTGATCCTCTACGAGCACGTGCTCAGCTGCACGCCACGACAGCGGCTCAGCTTCGAGCAGCAGGCGGATTTCGCTGAGCTCGTGGCAGAGACAAAGAGAGCGCATCAGAGAGCGAGAAGGCATCGCAAGAGCAAGATGACATTGCTGGAGGAGATGCAGCAGCTCGTGCACCTGCAAATGCAGGCACTAAAGCACCAGCAGCAGAAGCAACAGGAGCAGCAGCGTCTATCTGACAGAGATCACAGGGAATGGAGGAAGCCGGAGAAACGGGATGGCAGAGGAAGGAGTAGAAGCAGAAGTAGGAGTAGGAGTCGAAAGAAGAAAAGCAGAAAGAGCAGGAGTAGAAGTAATCCGAGAAACAGTCACAATCCCAGTAAGAGCAGCAGCAGTCGAAGGAGCAACAGAAACTCGAGCAGTCACAATCACAGGAGCAGCCGCACCCCAGACAGAAGACGTGGGAGAAGTCAAAGTCGAAGTCCGAGTCGGAGACGCAGTAGAAATAAAAATCCGAAACGCAGCCGAAGACACAGTCCCAGTTCCAGCAATCGAGAAACGAGTCGAAGGAGTAGTCCCAGGCGTGACCCAATCTCATGTTGAAGCGACAATCAAATGAGACGAACAGAAGGAGCGACCGGAGAGTCCAAGTCAAAGATGGACCTGCAGCAGTTGAGGAGCGCATAGGTTTGCTGTCACTTCGCTGTGGAATCAAAGCATCAATCCGAGTTGAAGGTATTATCGAACAATGTGTGGAGGCGCGATCCGAAGGGGAAATGCAGGCATCAGACGGAGATGAAGCAGCAGTGAGGAAACTGAGCAGCGGTCCTAGTCGACGAGTCCGAATGGAAGCAGCGCGACAACACGAGTGCTAGAGGAGAAGCACCAGCGAATCCAACCTCTATCCGGCCACAAACGCAATATTTGACATTAGGATTTGACTTGTTAATAGTTTTAATAGCAATTAAATTATTATAAAGCGCCACTGTTCTCTGCAGACCGGAACTGGAGCAAGTGCATCGCATGCGTTTGCGTGTGGATGGCTTTGCTTCACTTGGTGGAGACGCGTGTGCGCTTATTCCATGAGAAATTGATGCCATAGTTCTTGACGCGCTCCTTCTTGGGCTTCAGATCGCCGTCGACGAACCAGCGCCAGCCATTGCGCTCGCAATATGTGATGGCCTCCTCCTTGGAGCCGAACTTTACATTCAGATTGGACAATGGGTCGCCACTAAAACGAGTGCGAGCGAGATAGATAGATAGATAGAGAGAGTGGGATTTAATCAGACGGGAGTCGCTGGACAGAATTTCGCATTTCGCTTACGTTGATGCCCAGCCCATGAGGGGATTTTCCCAGCGCTCGCGATTATCGAACTCGATTTGCCATGTATTTATGTTGTCCGTTCCACTCTGCATCGCATTTTTGGGTGGGATATGAATGCGAACGCGGCGCTCTTTCAGCTGCTCCTCGGGCACGCCGGAAATGGGCCCGAGATTGACTTCAACGGGCACGGTTATTTTGCCACTCAGCTTATTGCGTTGCTCCAGCTCTTCGGGACGTGCGAGCGCAGTGCTTGGGTCAAGTGGACCGCCGTCCTGCGAGGAGGCCCAGCGGCGTGCCGTGCTGTCAAATAGAAGAAAAATAATGAGATTGGTGGTTCCGGGACAAAGGGAAGGCTTTGCACTTACAACTGCATTGTGGGCGCTGTGCGTGCCAACGCCTGACGGATTAGCGACATTTTTATTTGTTTTCCTTTTCACACAATCTCGAGCTATCAACGGCAAATCACAATATAAATTACGTAAAATTTTGGAACACAAACGTTTTCTTGTTGTTTTTGTTTTTGACAGCTGTTTCATTGGCAGGGTGACAACTGACTGAGTGATATGTAACGCGAGGGTATATCGATAGTTATTGGTTGTCCAACTTGAATAAAAGAAAACAACGTTTTTTTTTATTGACAGTTTTGACAGTTATTAATAGATCAATTCATACGCAACCTTATTTATATATTTTAATTCATAAACAACATTAATCTGTACATCCAGATATTCCGTTGCGAACTATCGGATTTATTGGGGTTCATCACTAGTGATGATCAACGGACAGCTGTTCCATGTGTCCTTTAATGGTTATAACTTTTGGTATTTTTGTTAGTATTCTGCAAGTGCAAATTAATAGTTTAGGCGTACACAGGACGAAAAATAAGAGAAAATAAGTCATAGAATAGAATAGACCAAATAAAAGATAATACTTGTACCAGTTTTTTTTTTCGCTATACCTAAAACGACTATTGGTACTTATTCAAATCTTAAATCGACAGATACAAATGTTACAATACCATCTATTATTTTCATTAACAATATACGCGCTTTTATAACGATGATCATTTTTATGCAGTGACTTTATGGAAACAGTATTTTTGTTAGTATTTATTAAACGAATATTGGGCATTTAGACGCATATAGGCTGCAGTCACGCTACATACAAACAAGTCAAAATTTTTTGTGCAGCACCAGACAGCAAAAGAGACGATTTGTTGTCATTGTTGTTGCAAAAGACGTGGCGAGGACGCAATTAATATCGCTGCACGAATCCGACAACGGACTGAAATACATCCGCCAAGATGGGTGTACCCAAGTTTTTTCGTTATATCAGCGAACGATATCCCTGCCTCAGTGAATTGGCGCGTGAGCATAGTGTAAGTATATACGCACATATATACATACATACACATATACATATGTATATGTGCCTGTGTGTAGGATAGCAAAGGGAGGTACACTGCAACCCCATTCTCTTGCGTAGATTCCTGAGTTCGACAATCTCTACCTGGACATGAACGGGATTGTCCACAACTGCTCGCACCCGGATGATAGTAATATCCACTTCCATTTGGAGGAGACGCAGATCTTTCAGGACATTTACAACTACATCGACAAGCTCTTCTACTTGATCAAGCCGCAAAAGTTGTTTTTCCTGGCCGTAGATGGTGTCGCACCACGTGCCAAAATGAATCAGCAGCGCAGCCGGCGCTTTCGCTCGGCCCGCGAGGCGGAGCAACTGGAGGCGAAGGCACGGCAGCGTGGCGAGAAGCGTGAGCATGAACGATTCGATAGCAACTGCATTACGCCGGGCACAGAGTTCATGGTGCGATTGCAGGCCGGCCTGCGCTGCTTTCTGCGAACGAAAATCTCGCAGGATCCCCTCTGGCAAAAATGTCGGGTCATACTCAGTGGCCAGGAGACACCCGGCGAGGGGGAGCACAAGATAATGGACTACATACGCTACATGAAGGCTCAGCCCACCTTCGACCCCAACACGCGTCACTGCCTCTATGGCCTGGATGCTGATTTGATTATCCTTGGACTCTGTACCCACGAGCTGCATTTCGTTGTGCTGCGCGAGGAGGTGAAGTTTGGCCGAAACGTGAAGCGCACCTCCGTGGAGGAGACGCGCTTCTTCTTGCTCCATCTGGGCCTGTTGCGCGAGTATCTAGAACTGGAGTTCCACGAGCTTTCGACCCCGGAGCAGAAGCTCGATGTCGCTCAACTGATCGATGACTGGGTCCTGATGGGCTTCATGGTGGGCAATGATTTCATACCGCACTTGCCCTGCCTGCATATCTCGTCGAACGCCCTGCCCTTGCTCTACAAGACGTACATTCGCATCTACAAGCAACTGGGCGGAAATATCAATGAGCATGGGAAACTGAATTTGGATCGATTGCAGCAGTTTCTGCACGCTCTGAGCGAGGTAGAGCTTCAGCTATTCGAGGAGCACAGCGACGATCTGAAATACATGAATGCCAAGACGGAGGCGTTCGACGTGGACATTGACGACATCAAGAATGACAGCGGTGAGAGCTACAATGAGGATCTTGCTGCGCTCATCGATGAGAGTATGAAGGTAATTCAAATATCCCGTATTATTTTCTCTTCACTGGAGGGTGATTCAAATATCCCATATTAATTTCCCTTGACGTCAACGTAAACTATCCCATATTAATTTCCCATACATGACGGGAATAAAAGATCCCATATAAATTTCCCTTTACAAATCAAAAATCGCTTGAGATATATTTGCCTTCACATGAAGATTTGACTATTTGACTATTTCCATACTTCGCATCTCAAATTCCCTTGCTTAGTACATCACTTTCAAAACCCCTATGATATTTGTCTTTATCAGTGCAACTGAAAGTCCCTGCATAGCTCGATTGGATGCAGCAGGAAAGCACTTTCAAATAGAATTTCCCATTTCAATTGCAAATTGCCCCTTTTCCGATTTCTGCTGAGCGAACGCATTGTCCAACTGCTCATGCACTACGTGCGAGCGAGCGAGAGCGAAAGCTTTTTGCATTTCATTGGAATATGCAAGCGAGCTTTCAGCTATTGCAAGCGCCTGTGTGTGGGCGTTTGTGCGTATGTCTGTGTGTGTGCGTGGGCCTGTTGAAATAGATAGCGTGTTAAGCTTTTGCTTTCACATTGGCCGCTCGCCCGGGCAATATGTGCGAAAGAGCGAACAGCATTTTTGCATGCCTTGTTTGCTCTGCATTGGCTGTTATCCAATGCAGACTTCCAATTGGAATCAACTCCAGCAACTGTTGATTTGATGTTCGCATGTTTTGCAGGGGAATTGAAAGCCAATAGGAAGTGACATAGAATTGCAGAAGCCTTCGTTTCAATATGACTTCGCCTACGTAATACCACCCATTTCCCATTTGCAGCTCTACGAGGACGACGACGACGATGTGGATCCCGACGACGAGCAGGCAGTGCTGCGCAGCGAGTTCCAGAACTACAAGCGCAACTATTACCGAAATAAATTCAAGAACGAGATGCATGAGGACCTGATTTCCGAGCTGAGCTATCATTATATCAGCGCCATTCAATGGGTACTCGATTATTACTACCGGGGTGTTCAGAGTTGGGACTGGTATTATCCCTTCCACTATGCTCCGTTCATCAGTGATTTGAACAACATTAAGAATACCAAAGTGAACTTCAAGATGGGCAAACCCTTTTTGCCCTTCCAACAGGTAATTCCAAATGTGACTGCTCGACTAGCAGCTGCAATTTAGTATTTACAGGGTATACAATTGACTTTCAACTGCTTCTTCGGCTGATATATACTAGACTAGACTAGAAATGACAATATTTGGATATAGTTTACAGCTTTTACAGAATATTTTCCATAATTTTCAAATAATTTACAGGGTATACAGTCACCTTGGCTGACCCACCTTAACTGATATCCCTTACATATTAGACAAGCTGATTTCGTTATTGTGAAGAAAATATGCTACACTGACATGTTAAGTATTTAAGGGGTATGCAATAGTCTATCAGCTCCTTTAGCTGACATCTCACGCAAGCTAGAGATGACTTCATCAATGGGAATAAGGCTCAGCCTATGCACATAGTTTTCAGCTTTTACAGGGTATTCCGTACTGATCATTTCTATCATTCACAGCTGCTTGCCGTGCTGCCAGCGGCCAGCGTCAATCTCCTGCCGATGGCATATCATGACCTGATGCTGAAGCCGAATAGTCCGCTGGCTGAGTTTTACCCCACGGAATTCGAAAGTGATCTGAATGGCAAGAAGCACGACTGGGAGGCCGTGGTGCTGATACCCTTCATCGAGGAGAAGCGCCTGTTGAGTGCCATGGCCGACTGTGAGCCGCAGCTGAGTGTCGAGGAGCGCGAAAGGAATCGCCATGGGCCGATGTACCAGTACGATTACAACGCAAAGTCCCAGGGTCCAATGAAGGGCCTGGCGCCACTCAAACCCCTGCAGAACGTGTTCTGCACGGAGCTGGCCCGTTGGTCCGATGAAATCGCCCTCAATTCGCCAAGGACTGTGTGCGTGGAGCTGGCCAATGCGGCCCGCCACGTCTTCTTTCCAGGCTTTCCCACGATGAAGCATTTGGAATTCGATGTAAGATGGAATTGTGGAACTAAAATGACTCTTATTTACCTTCTCTCTCTCTCTCTCTCTGATCTCGGTCTGTCTGTCTCTCGCCTACAGTTTGAGTTGCGCCACGATCGTGTCAAGGTCTTCGAGCAGCCGAGCCGCAATCAAAGCATGGTCTTGATGCCGCGCCAGCGCGAAGCCCAGGATTCCCTCCAGTCGGTGGCGGCCCAGCACCTGGGGCAGGTGGTGTACATTGGCTGGCCGCACTTGATCAAGGCCAAGGTGGAGAGCGTCGCGACGCGCGACCAAGTGGTGGATCGCGATGGCATACGCGCGAATGAGCCGCGACGCTTCGACTCGGACTGCAAGTCGCTCGAGGAACAGTTGAGTTATTGCCTCCAAGCCCAAGCACGCCCGTCAGTTTCTAATCTCACTTTTGCCACTTTCCCCTTAAAGTTTCACCGGCCGCATGGCCATCAAGTTCCCCAACTACGATGTGCTCATCTATATACGCACCTACATCGGCAGCTCGGTGGAGTTCGGCAAACGCGGCAACGTCTTCATGAAGGACTCGTGGAGCAGTGCCATAACGGCGTACCCGGCACAAGGCGTGGTCTCCGACATCAAGGTGCGCGACAACTTGCACGCGCAGTTCAACAAAATCGAACAGCTCTTCCCGACGGGCAGCACGGTCTTCTTCATTGGCAAGCCGTATGCGGGCAGCGAGGGCACCGTGCTGGATCCGATGCTCGTCTACAGCTGTGGCCGTGTGCAGGGCAAGTTAAAAGCTTTTACAAACACTTTCTATACATTACATTATATACATTACTTTACATGATTTACATTGTTTACAAACCGGCAACGTGCAACAAACAACGTGCCACGAGCCGCACATTGCAATAGGTTGTAATCTACTTGCGCAGCGACTCAGATTTCGTCCTCCATTTTCATCGCTGGCCCAGCATAGGCCAACGGCGTGCGGCAGAGAGAGACAACCAGTGTAGCCTCTTTCTATTGGTTGCCTGCGCATTGCCGCCTGCTCAGAGGTTGTCAAGTGCGTAGTGTGACGTCACAGCCTTAGGCTGTTAAGTAAATTTGCATAAACTAAGCTAAGCGATGTTGATCAACATTAAATACTAGTATTATTAGCAATTACATACAATCGGCCATTGGATTCAGTAGTGAAAACAATACTGAGTGCGCTGATTGAATGGGAATTTGCAGTCTAATTACTTTGCGCATTGGCATTCGCAATTAGCGCACGCACTTCGTATGCATGTAGGCGTGTGCGTATGCGCGTACGTGTATTTGCATGTGCTTTTGTTGTGTGCAGGCATTCACTGGAAGGGCCTAAGCTAGAGTCTGTCTCTTTCCGTCGCACGCGTTTTCTATGAGCCTGCTCGCTCACTCATCTAATTCAAAGCTAGACTAAGAAGAAGAAATGGCAGTGACACTGACACTTCCTGCAGGTAGAGACAACGTTTGTCTCTTTCCCTCTACCATGTGCCGAGGTGAAGTCTTTGAAATTTAAAAATGGTGGATTCAGAAGATTCTCGACCGTTCAAGTGTCAACGACAAATTGGATTTGAGTTTTCAAAATTAAGTGACTTTTCATTCGCGAATTTAACAAAAATGCATTCTAAATGTGATTTTACTAGTAGGTGTTATCCTGGCCAGTCGTTGCATGCTGATCCGACTGCTCTTTGGTAAATTAATTAATTTGTGTTCGATTTGCGATTTACAGTTAACATCCGCGTGGGCCCCGAGCCACAGCTGATGCCCGCACGCCTGCTGCAGGAGGAGCGCGACCGCGACTTCATGAACTCGTACAAGGTGTGCCGTGAGTTGAATGTGAACAGCAAATGCCTGGGCCGTCTCACGGGCACCGTCTGGGTGGTGCTCGGCCCGCGCCGTGAGAAAATGGAGAACGTCTCCAAGCACAACATTGGACTGCAGCTGAAGTATCCCCGTTTGAACGAGGAGCGCGCCGGTTACTGCCGCCGCATCAACAACCAGTGGTTCTATTCCTCGCTGGCCGTCGATCTCATGCATACCTATATTGAGAACTTTCCGGCCATTGTCGACTACTTCTCGAGAAGCGGCGATCGCGGCGAGTTCATCTACGAGGAGGACATCTATCCTCACGCGATGGGCCAGCATCTCATCGAGGACGTGGCCAACTGGGTGCGCCAGCAGCCGCACATGAAGGTGGATCGCATCACTTGCGGCTCGCGCACCGTTTGCAAGGAGACCGTCGAGCTGCTGATAAAGGCTGTTGATGAGCTGCGCATGCTGCCCGTCAAGAATGTCAAGCTGCAGGTGAAGCCGCACCTGCTGGTCAAGCCGAACGTGACGCTGCCCGACGTCTACCGCACGTCGGGCGCAGTGCGCCTCTTCGACCGTGTCGTGGTCGTGCGCACCATCTACATGGTGCCCGTGGGCATCACCGCCACCGTCATCGGCATACACCCGGTCTCTGACCCGAATCCAGTGCGTCTGGAGTGCCTGAACGCAGTGGAGACGTTCTGCGAACTGCTCTTCGATCGGCCGGTGTCCAACTGCGGCGACATACACGGCATAGCTGACGAGCGCATCTACAAGGTGCCGGAGAGCGCCTTGGTCATCATCAGCTCGCTCGGTGAGGCTCTGTGAAGTGGCATGCGTCCGAGATCAAGTAGGAACTGCTAATTCTGTCTCTGCTCCTTCTTTCAGAAAACGACGAGAAGCAGCAGCCGAAGCAGCAGGCAAACATGGCAGTCTCGTCGCCCCTCAAGACCCGAACGGATGCCTTGCGCCGCAACTGGCGCGACCAGCAGCAGCAGCCGCGCTTTGTGACGGCTGCGGGCAGCAAGTACAATCCGATCACGATGAACACGCGCATCGCCGACGAATTCTATTGGCCCAGCGATGCGCCAGCCACGAGCTCCGCGTCCGGCTCCACGTCTGGCTCCACTGCTGCCTCGACTTCGGCTCAAGCAGCAGCCACAGCAGCCACAGCAGCCGCAGCATCTGCATCAGCTGCTGCTCTAAATCAAGAGGCAGCTTCCGGCCAGAAGGATCTGATGCCCTTGCCGGACTGGCGCAGCTTAAGCAAGCCAAAGTTGCCGCTGCTTGCCAATCAGCTCGAGCAGCAGCAGCAGCAGCAGCAGCAACAACAGCAACAAGGGCTGCTGCAGCAGCAGCAGCAGTCGCGCAGCCAAGGCGGCTCGGCCTCGCCCACTGATCAAACTCAGGCGCTGAAGCTGCTGTTGGGCCTGAAGCCATCGTCGCAGCAAAAGCAGGAGCTACAACAACTGCAGCAGCAGCAGCAGCATCAACAGCAGCAGCAGCAGCAGCATCAACAGCAGCAGCAGCAGCAGCATCAACAGCAGCAGCAGCAGCAGCATCAACAGCAGCAGCAGCAGCAGCATCAACAGCAGCAGCAGCAGCAGCATCAACAACAGCATCAACAACAGAAGCAGCAACAGCAACTGCAGCTGCAAATGCAGCAACAGCAGCAGCAGAAGAAACTGCAGCAGCAACAACAACAACAACAACAACAACAGCAGCAGCAACAACAACAACAGCAGCAGCAGCAACAACAACAGCAGCAGCAGCAGCAGCAGCAGCAGCAACAACAACTGCAAATGCAATTGCATCAACAACTGCAGCAGCAGTTAGCATTTCAAATGCAATCCCAACTGGCTACGCCAGTGCAGTCAATGAAGGTTCCGTCCACTTCGCTGCCACAGCCGCAGTCGCTGCCACAGGCGCCGCTGCCTAGTCAAATGCCTGTAAGATATTATTTTAGCTGCAGCTGTAGCTACTTCCATACTAATCTAAATCCTTGTCTGTTGTAGAAATTGCCGCAGCCGCCGCTGTTCTGGCAGCGCGAGGCTCAACAGCATCAGGCCAAGATGCAGTCGGATATGATTGCCACTCAGCAGTGGGACATGCCAGCGGCTCCAAACGTGATGCGCCCACAGCTGATCAGGCCGCAGCCACAGCAACCACAGCAGCCACAGCAGGCAGCGCAGACGCCGCAGCAGCTGCTGCTGCAACAACATTTGCAGCGACTCGCTAATGCAGCTCTGCAAACGCTCCTGCCAACGCCTCAGCTAGCTCAACAGCTGCCACAGCAGCAGCAGCACCACCAACAACAACCACCGATAGTTCCGTCACTTGACGTGCCAAAATCGAACGGCGGCGCCTACCACAAGGGCTATGTTCACTACAACAGTAGCAACAACTTCAACAACTACAACAGCGGCAACATCGGCAACATCGGCAACAACAACAACAACAACGCCCCAACCTTCTTTGCCAATAACAGCAGCAACTACACAGGCAACAACAGCAACAATGGCAACAACGGGAACAACAATCGTCAGCTGGATGGCAGCTTCTTTGGCAACGGGAGTCAACGTCGCACCTCGATCCAAGACTTTGTGCCCATTCAGGCCTATCGCCCCAAGAAAACTCAGCGTCCGGCTGACGGGGAAGCTCTAGCTGCTCCAGCTCAAGGCGGGCAGGCATTGGTAAGATGGATCAACCAATTAGCTGATTGAGTGACTGATCAAACTTTGATTGACTGATTGATTGGCTGATTGATTGACTGAACTGATTGTTCAGCAAACTTCACATACTGTATTTATATCTATTGCCGTCTCGCTTGCAGGATAAATACGAAAAGACCAACAACAGCGCCGCTCTCCATGATCCGCTAAAGGAGAACACCCCAACTAATTCTACGGCAACAATAACTGTCGCAGTGCAGTCAACTGAGGACGAGGCCAGCTCGGAGTTAATGAGAACCCTCAAGATAATGGTAAATATTTCAAAATAATCCTTAAACAGTGAACGAGGTGGAGAATCACACATCTTCGTAGCTGTGGGCGGAATATGGACTCTAATAATATATAGTTGCCCAAGCGAAGAGAGAGGTTGATAAATATTTAGAATATTCCGCTTAGCTAAGTGGAATATGGCTGAGTTTTTAAATTATGTGTAGATGGGAGAGAGGGAGAGGGAGAGAGACTGAGAGACAGAGATGGATATAGGTAGGGAGAGACACAGATACTGAACCAGGGCGAGAGACAAAGAGAGAGACAGAAACAAGGACGAATGAAAGAGAGACACAAGAAGGGGGAAGTAAAGAGAGTGAGAGAGAGACATTAACAGATAGAGTGAGATAGAACGATAATGAGAGGAATATTACTATCACCTAATAATATCTATCTCTCTCTATCACTTTCTAGCCTTCAGGTGCTGAAGCCACTGGAGGAAGCAAAGAGGAGTCCGTGCTTATAAAGGTAATATACACACATACATATACATTTGTTCTATGTAAATAGTGACATTCGTATATATTCCACAGCCAAAGGTGGTTCGTAAGCCGCGTGTTCCGCGCATTGGAGCCAAATTCGATCTGGAGTACATCATGCCCTAAACAGGACTCTGACGTGAAAAGGAATAAGACTAAATGAAGAATCCTCAAAATATACTCTTGTCAGAGTTATTTTCGTTCGTTTTAGTTTTATTTTGCATCTGCATAATTCTAGATTCTATATTTTCCATCTTTTTATTTTTCTCACTTTTTTTTTTTTTAATGTTTGTGGAGCAGCGATAGCTCCTTTCGACTGCTATGAATAGACATTAGTATTATATATAGAGCGCTATGTTTGTATAGTTATATATATCATTTTATATATGTCTATATATATATATATAATTGTGTATATATCATCTCAAACTCCTAAGCTCACACACAAGAAAAAAAAAAAAAAATAAAAATAACAACGTAGGAAATGAGAAATGAAAACGAAAACTGAAATTGAAATAAACACAAGTTTGTTACTGGAAAACAAAATATAAATGTTAGAGAATATACTTATACCATAATTGTAGGTGTAAGAGTGTAAAGCCTTCCAAAAACAAAGCGAACAAGAGACAACTCGAAAGAGCGGGAGGAAGAGAGATAGAGAGCTAGATAAAGTAATCTTTTCTCAAGAAAAAAGAGTTTTATTCAAATTCCGTAGAATTTAAGCTTCTGTACGTGAGTTACGAAGGTAAAGGTTTGTTTTATCAATCAGAAATTTATTTAACTACAATTTATTTAAAAAAATTTGTATTTATTTAAAAAAATGGCTTTTAAGATAAACCGTAGACATTTAAGAGAAAGAGAGATAGACAAACGCCTATGTGTACCTAAAGAACTCATTAAATCTCGAAAATGACACGCCTGAATTGTATTATTTTTCAATTTTCAGAAATTATTCATTTATTAGCAACAATAAATAAACGTGTACCAATATGCGCGACTGCACTGTAAGCGGGTGCAGCTCAACTTGTATTGCGCTGTGTCTTAACTAACTGAAACATGCACTGGATCAGAAGTGAGTGGTTTGTGTCTTAGCTAACAGTTGCTAGTTTTTGGCATCGCACAGCATTTCAAAATTGTATGTGATTATACAATTCATTTAAATTACGTACTTTTGTCTAAGTATTTTGCAGTTGGCAGCAAAGCGGTTGAAAACGCTCGCGAGCATTGTCGGATTTGGTTTGTGTCTCGGCTGCACAGTCATGTTTACACTGCTGTCCTGTGATATTGAGTATTACTTGTTCTTCGTGCAGCTGAGACGATGACGCAGTATATCGACCTTTGATAGTTTTAGATGGCGTCCACAGCTCTCGCAATGATGATCGCTGCCACCGCGGGAGCTGCTCGTGGGCGCCACAGTCACGTCCCGCTCGTTAGATACACGTGCTCGCTGTTGTGCCTTGCACTCAGGGCGATGCAGCAGCTGATCCAACACATCGAACTGCTCCAGCTCGTAATCACAGCGAGGACACTGCCAGGGCTGGGCTTGAAGTGCCGTCTCCATGGCCAGCGTCCAGGGCAGCTCGGCCAAGCAGCCATAGACCACATGCTCGGAGACGTTGAGGCCGCCCTTCTCCTCGTTCACGCTGAGCGGAAAGTCGGCGGCAAAAGGGTTCGATGAGAGGGAGGCGAGTCGATAGGTTGGAGGCGAGCGGGTGTAGAGCGTCTTCTGGTCGGCAGGCAGCAGCCGCTTAATGCTGTACGCAACATCCAAACTCATAAAGTCCAGCAGATCAGACCACAGCGAATCGCTGCCTACGTGGAGAGGCGCAGCAGCAACGGAACTCGAGTCATTACTGCTGCTGTTGAGCTCTGCAAGAGAAGCAATTGGTTTAGTTGCATGAGATCTGTCTCTTGGTCTTGGTCTTGGTCTACGCACCGTTGAGCTTATCGTAGAGGCGACTGCTCCAGCGTCTCCTCAGCTCGATGGCCTTGCTCAGCAGCTGCAGCCCGCTGCCCGGCTGTGGAAAGTCCAAGCCCAGCCAGCCATCGCAGACGATGCGCGAGAGGCCCACGTTTGTGTCGATGGCGTAGCCAAAGAGCAGCAGCGTCTGAGCTGCTGGCAAGCGGATGCAGTTCATCAGATATGGCTTCGCTGTTTCCAATAACGATCTGGGTGGGCGAATAGAGGACGATAATTACTAGACTGGACTGGATGATATAGAGATTCACTCACTGATAGCAGAGCAGCTGGTGGCGCTCGCTGAGCGGCTGCTTGGGCGTGTAGTAGAAGGGCTTCTCCTGCAGATCGCTCTCTGTGAGCTTGAGCAGCTCGAAGTCCTTGGCAAAGTGCGAGTTTGGGTGCAGCGAGAGAAATGGCTTGAGTTGCGTGTGGAAGAACTGCTGGCTGGCGCCCTTGCAGTAGTTGAACTCGTCCGCAATGGCCAGCTGTGGATAGAAGCCGCTCACCAGGAGCAGCTTCAGCAGCACGACGTCCCGATGGCTGCTCAAGTGGGCGGAGCGAGCGAGCAGCGTTAGCTGGCGATGATCATGGCGCAGCCGGAAGTCCACGTCGCGCATATCCTCGCCCAGCTCCTCGTCGTCTTCCTGCTCCGCCTCATGGGGCTGGCGCTTGAGCAGCTTGCGCTGCCTGGGCTGCTCGTAGCGCTGGCGCCGCTTCAACGCCTTCAACTGGCGCAGCTCGCCATGACGACGCGCACGCTCCCTGCTGTCCAGCTGCTCATTCTTGGGCGTGGCCATGCGACAGCTCTCGAGTATGCGCTGGAACTGCTGGCGCAGCTTGCACAGCTCGTAGAAGCGCTGCTCCTCGATGCCCAGCTTTTGGCACCACTTCCTGGTGCTCTCCCTGGACATCTTCAGCTGCAGCCACTCGTGGAAGGCGCGCATCAGCGTGAAGAGGTCGCCCTGATCCGACTCGTACTGCTGGCGCTCGCGTTCGCAACGCTGATCGGTGAAGGCGCGCGTCGTCAGCGGGTTCTGCACGCTCAGCATGGCGGCCAACGTGAGCAGCTGCTCGAGCTCGGGAAACACGCAGCCCATGAGCAGCATCTTGCCAATCGACAGCTCAACGGGCAAGTGGGCCAGCGAGCTGCCCAGCGGCGTGATCTTCTCCTCCACGCTCAAGGCGCACTGCACAGGAAGAGGAGAGAGGGGGAGAGAGAGAGAAGTGATTAGAGCTTGCCCTTCAATAGCTGATCGGCTTCCATCTTACATGCTGCTTGAGTGAGAGAATCGTCTGCTCTATGCGCTCCGCGTCGGGCGCCTCTATGAAGGGAAAGGCGCGCACATCCGGCAAGCCCATGGAGACCATTTGCAGCAGCATTGTGTCCAGGGGCACGCGATAGATCTCCGGCAAGGGGTATGCCTCAAAGGCGTCGAATTGCTGCTGTGTGTAGAGTCTGAAGCAGACCTGAAAGAGACGGCAATAGTCAGCAAGTGGCATGCGGCATGTGGAGCATGTGAAGTTACTAACGCCTGGGCCTGTGCGTCCAGCGCGACCTTTGCGCTGCTCCGCTGAGGATTTGGATACCCAGAACTCCTTGAGCCGCTGCCCCTTGCAGCTGGCGTCGTAGCTCATCTCTTTGACCTTGCCCGAGTCAATGACGAAGCGGACGCCGTCGACTGTCAGCGACGTCTCAGCTATGTTCGTCGAGACGATGCACTTGCGCATGCCGTCGGGCGCATAGTCAAAGACCTTATCCTGCTCCGCCAGCGCCAAGCCACTGTGCAGTGGCAGCAGCAGCCAGTGGGTCTGCTCCTTGGCGTATTCCTGGACTGCATCGCAAACGACATCGATTTCGTTGACGCCGCTGACAAAGATCAGCACATCGCCACGTTCAGTGGCTGCAAGGAGAAGACCCATTAGAATTGTACTGGTCATAGGTGGGGGCTCCTCTTACTTGGATATTGCTGGTCAATGAGGCTGAGCACTTGGATGAACGGCGCCGGGTCGAGTCGCGAGCTCTTCTCCCGCTTATTGCCGGCTGTGGCTTGTCCCGCCTTCAGCTCCAGCGCCGGAGGCGGCATATACTTCAGCTTGATGGGAAACAGGCGACCTGGCACTTGCAGCAGGCGTGCGCCCTCCTCCTTGAAGTAGCCATGGAAGAGCTCCACATTGATCGTTGCCGACATCAGAATCAACTTCAATTGCGGCTTGGCGCGCAGCAAGCATTTCGTGACGCCCAGCAGAAAGTCACCGAAGAGATTGCGCTCGTGTATCTCATCGAGAATGAGCACATCGTACTGCTCCAAATTGTCCGCCATTGCCAGCTGCCGCAGGAGCAAGCCCTCAGTAATGAACAGAATATGCGTGTGCTGAGTTCTGTTCCGCTCGAAGCGTATCTGGAAGCCCACTTTGCTGCCATAGTCGTCCAGCAGCTCGTGGGCTACTCTCTTCGAGAGCGAGACGCAGGCCAAGCGACGTGGCTGTGTGCAAGCTGGAGAGTAAAAGAGACAAATGATTGAGATAGGTTATATAGAGTAGAAGTTCGCTAACAGAGCTTGGTAGCTCTGATGTAGGCTAGACTTGCCTATGCTGCGGTAGCCAAATTCGTAAAGATATTGTGGCACTTGCGTTGACTTTCCACAGCCCGTGTCGCCGGCAACGATGAGCACACGGCTGGCCTCTAGCGAGCTACGCAAGTCCTGCTTGAAGCGGGCGATGGGTAGCGCCTTTTGAGCTTCCCTCAGTTTCTTGATGCGATTAAATTTCTCTTTTTGCTTGAAGTCCAAGTAGATGAGCACCAGCTGCTGGAATTGTGCTTGTAGCTCGTCACCCTCGCAGTCTTTGACCTGTTCCTCGTCCAGCTGCAGGGGCAGGTGCTTGCTCTTATGATAGGGCTGCGGTTGCTCATGCTCGGAATCGTTGAGCAGGCAGGGTAACACCGGCTGCCCCATGCTACGCAGCATAGACTCATATTTGTTGACAAACTGCCAGAAATCTGATGCATTTTCTACGAGGCTGACCGGATGCCTGGTGCTCTTGGTGAACAGGTGTCCACTTAATGCTGATTTGTGATCCAAAAAGCTAAAATCCACCAAATTAAGAGGCTGACGCGCGGAATTATGCCGTTTTCTACTTGTTTTGCCCGATCTGTAGCTCATTTTCAGAAGTAAACAAATAGCGATGGCAAATGGCAATCGATGAACGGCAATAGTTTCTATCGAAATTCAGGCCATCAGCTGTGGAGGCTATTCAAATGCACTTGATTTTGGTTTTATTTGATTTTCTTTTTTTTATTTGTTTAGCTTTAAACAGGGCTCAATAAAAGTATATCTAAATGTTACCACATGGCACGCTGCACTCCAGACAGCTTGTTATAATCGGCCAGGTGTCGCCACACAATGCGGCTAAGTCGATATTTGTGGACTACGCCGCGCGGCCGTGACGTAAGTGCGCAACGTTCTCGCACGCGAACCAGTGAGGAGTCCCTTGGAAATGCGGCTATCTCAGCATCCGCCAACTCGCGGAGCTCAACGGGCAGTATGTCATTCTTCCGTAGCGAGTTTACACGCAAGCGGTCCTTGGCATGTTCGCTGACACATTTGCGACGTTTGACATCGCGTATCATACGCCAGTCGGCATATTTGGTGCGCACTTGCTGCAACTGGGGGAGAAACAAATTTGAATGAATTTTATTTGTTGGAATATATGTTACGACTTACGCCACATCCAGCGATTTGAACGCTTTGGCTAACGAAGCTTCCGAGCTTAGCCAAGGAGTTCATGTTATTTACTTCACAATTGTTTCAAACGACTCACAAGTTGCTCATATCGATATAATCAGTCCCCTTTCTTACCTATCGATAATGTATTCTCGCATTGACAGCTGTTGTTCCTAACTATTGTTTGAATGTCAGTTTTTTTGTGAGAAAATTTAATACGAATTTTATTGAAGTTTTGTTCTAAATGAAGTAAAATAATGTGTGTGGCTCTGTTAATGGTTTAGATATATATACTGGCAATACTATACAAACGCATTACATTCATTTTAAGTAATAAATCATACGTTTTATATAACACGACTGGGTAGCCCGCTATTGCTGCTTCTTCTTGCGATTGGAGGGTGTTGCACAGCTGTGATTCTTGTGCCTCTGCAGAACGGCACAAACGAATAAAAATCCAATATTTTTCCCATAAACTAATTTAAATGTGAGTATAATATCATCTTTATTTTATAATATCGTGAATTATGTGAATCATTCACACGGCGCGTGCACAAAAGAAAATCAGGTGCAAAATATAATAAATCGAATTGTCAACATTTGCCATTCGAATCGACGCGCAAACACATGCTGTGCATGTGTATATTGCGTTGATGTTTGCTGTCTCACCGTCAAGACGAAATTTTGCTCGTGGTCGCGGTGTATTTTACACAGAATTTTATAAATATATATTTTTAAACGCCGTGCGTGTGTGTAATTTTTTTTTTGTTCATGTGCCTTGGTGAAAAGGAAATTAATTATACGCACGCTGAATTAGCGCTTCAACAATAATAGAATACCTCTACCCTTCATAAAATAGCCAAACGGAAGCATTTTTAATCCGGTGCAAAAGTAGCAGCTGAAGAAGAAGCAGCACAGCAAAACGTCGAAGATGCCTTCCAGCGATCCACTGCCGCCCAAAGAGGCTGCACTCTTCCGTAAATTACTGGTAAGTGCAGTATATATGTATACATATTTCTGCACATGTATGCATATGTATTGGAGCGTATATATGTACATGTATGCTCTGCTAAGTCGCCGGCTACAATTCCAATTGCGGCTCCCATACAAGACCCAACACACATACACACTCACACCTATGCGCTCACGCACACACACAGTTTATCATGTGCTTTTTCGTTGCGCCTATTTTTGGTATTACAGAGAAAAAACAAAAGCAATAAGAACAAAACTGATTAGAAACATTACCAATTGGATTTGTTAGTTGTCGAAGAGTGCTGCCCCTGCCAAAAAAAATGCTAACTGGATTTTTAATGCATTGTTTTGGCACGTAGTTCATAGCATAACCTCAAAAAGTGGGGCGGGCTTTTGAAAAGGGCTGAATAACAAGCCAAAGTATGAGAAGTTCTAGTTGTAACTGCAATTTTATGTTACTTTAGGTATATGTGTATCTGCACTTAATTTAATTACATTCGTATTTGCTCACCTGTCATGCAGAAATGCTACGAAATGAAGCAGTACAAAAATGGCCTCAAACTGGCCAAGCAAATCCTATCAAATCCGAAGTTCACGGAACATGGCGAAACGCTGGCCATGAAGGGCCTAACACTGAACGGACTTGGGCGCCGTGAGGAGGCGTATAAGTATGTCCGCATGGGCCTGAGGAACGATTTGCGCTCTCACGTCTGCTGGCATGTCTATGGCCTGCTGCAGCGTAGCGACAAAAAGTATGACGAGGCAATCAAATGCTATCGCAATGCCCTCAAATGGGAGAAGGACAACTTGCAAATATTGAAAGATCTGTCGCTGCTGCAAATACAAATGCGAGACTTGGAGGGCTACAAGGAGACGCGTCATCATCTGTTCACGCTGCGGCCATCGCAGCACGCCTCATGGACTGGCTTCGCGATGAGCTATCATCTGCTGGGTGAGCATATGATGGCGAATAATATACTCGAGACGTTTAGCCAGTCGCAGACATCAATTGTAAGTGCGAGAATAGTTGGACTATATATTGTTGTTAATCTGTACATCTCTCCCTCTCTCTCTCTCTCTCTCTGTTGCCCTGTTGATCTGTTTCCCTTCATTTAGGAGGCCCACGATTATCGCCAGTCGGAGCTGCTGCTCTATCAGAATCAGATACTCATCGAAGCGCACCAGCTGCAGCAGGCGCTGGATCATTTGCTTAAGTTTGAGCCACAGATTGTGGACAAGTTGGCTGTGCGCGAAACTCTCGGCGATTTGTATATTAAGCTGAAGCAGGAGGATAAGGCGGTGCCCATATATGAATCCCTGATCCAGCGGAATCCGGAGAATGTGCTCTACTACAAACAATATATGACGGCCCGTCGCGTCAGCTCCCCAAGCGATATCGTGGCTGTTTATCGCGAGTTTCAGCAACAATATCCACGCGCGCTCTGTCCACGTCGCCTGCCTTTAGACATTGCCAGCGGCGATGAGTTCCGCGTCGTGGCCGATGAATATTTGCGACGTGGCCTTCGAAAGGGTATTCCTCCATTGTTTGTCAATGTGCGTTCGCTGCACCAGCAGCCGGAAAAGGCGAACATCATCGAGTCGCTAACGCTGCAATACTTTGAGAATTTAACGCGTTCCGGTCACTTTTCCCGGGAAGATGCCGATGCTGGTATGCCGGTTGAGCCAGCCTCTGCTTTGGTCTGGACCGCATTGTTTCTGGCCCAGCACTATGATTATATGCGCGATACGAACCGAGCATTGGAATACATCAATGTCGCCATTGATCATACACCAACGCTGATTGAGTTGCTTATCACGAAAGGGCGGATTTTTAAGCATGCAGGCGATGCTGTGGAGGCCTACGTGTGGCTCGAAGAGGCCCAGAGCATGGACACGGCCGATCGGTAGACTATATACTCTATACATATTACTATTGTGCACCCATCTAAAACTCCCACTTGCAGCTACATCAACTCCAAGTGCGCCAAGTATATGCTGCGCGCCAATATGATTAGCGAGGCCGAGGATATCTGTGCGAAGTTCACCCGTGAAGGCGTCTCGGCTATGGACAATTTGAATGAGATGCAATGCATGTGGTTCCAGACGGAGTGTGCCTTGGCCTTCCAGCGCATGGGTCGATGGGGCGAGGCGCTTAAGAAATGCCACGAAGTGGATCGTCACTTTGCCGAGATCATTGAGGATCAGTTCGATTTTCATACCTATTGCATGCGCAAGATGACATTGCGCGCTTACGTTGGACTATTGCGACTGGAGGATGTCCTACGGCGTCATCCATTCTACTTCAAGGCGGCCAAGTGTGGGATTGAGGTCTATATGCGTCTCTACGATAAGCCACTCAAGTCGGAGGCAACCATTGAGGAAATTGACATCGGTGCGGCAAGAACATCCGTCACAGAATACCTATATGTACATATAAATAAATGATTGCTAACTGTGATCCTTTGCAGAGAACCTTCCGCCATCGGAGCTGAAGAAGCTGCGCAGTAAACAGCGCAAGGCCAAGAAGAAAGCCGAACTGGAGAGCGCACAGGCTGCCCAGGCGCAGGTGAAGCGCGAACAGCATCAGAAATCGAAACAGCAAGCCAACCAGGAAACCGATCCGGATGCACCGCAACTAGACGAGCTGATCCCCGAGAAACTGGAGCGCACCGACGAGCCGTTGGAGAAGGCAATTGAGTTCTTAAAGCCGCTGCAGCAGTTTGCCAAAGAGCGCATTGAAACGCATTTATTGGCCTTCGAGGTGTACTATCGAAAGAATAAGCTGCTCCTCATGCTGCAATCGATACTGCGTGCGCGTGCTGTCAATCCAGAGCACCCCGTGCTGCATAGCTGTATCATCCGATTTATGAAAGCGCTGGCCAATGCCAAGAAATTGGAGCCGTTCAACGAGCATGTGCAGCAAGTGCTGGATAAGGCCACCAAAGAACTGATAGGCACCAAGACGCCACAGCAGTTGAATGACGAATTCATTGCCAAGCATCATGCTACTTCCATATTGCATTTATATGAGGGCGCACGCGGTCTCTACGAGCTGGATCCTAGCAAAAAGCAAACAGCCATCAAGCTGATCACCAGCTTCAATCTGAGCAAGATGCGATTAGAGGTATTTTTCTCATATATCTGTATACTGTATATCAAGTACTATATCTGTGTGTGTGTGTGTGTGTTTTCCATGTGACTTGCAGGAGGCCGTTCAGGTTTATACGGCGTTGCGGGATGGCGATATCTTTGGGGAGTGCGAGAAGGAGGCGGACGAGTATAAGCTGTTGTGCCAGCAACGTTTCCAATATGCGCGCATCTTCCGCAACGTTGAGGAGCTGGAGGCGCAGCTGCAGGAGAAGGAGGCAGCCAAGCTGCGTGCCGAGGAGGAGCAGCAGCAGCTCAATCATCTCGATTCAAATGAGGTGTCTGTAACGTCGACGCCAGCGTCCATTGCGGCAGCATCTTAGAAGCAACATTGGGGCAAAAGCGACAGCAACACTAACAATAACAATATTAACAGCAACAACAACAACAACAACAACAATTGCAACAGACTTTACTGCAACAGCAACTTGAAGTACTGCAGTAAACCCAATTTTATCGACAACAGCAAAAGCAACAGCAGCAACAACAACAACAATAACAATAATAAAAGAAAACTATATTAACAAAACAAACAAAACAAACAAAAAACAACAGCAGGCAGCGAGAGCAAGCGAAGCAACAAAATTCTTCAGTTAACTAGAATTGCGGGGGTCGCTGAGGAGAAGCATGAATCGGTTTTATTTTTCGTTTTGTACACTCACACACACACACATACACACATGCACAGACACGCATTGGAATGTGCTTTGTGTAAGCGAGCTAACTTTATACAACATGAGCCCATACACACACACACACACCCAAGCACACACACGCATACATATTACTTTATGTATAGTTAATAATGCAGCAGATGCAGAGGCGGCAGCAACCAAGGTGGCAACGTAAAAGCTTATAAATAAATAAATGAACAATAATAATAATAATAGCAAGAACAACAAGCAACCAAATGAGTGAAGGCAACAACAAAACAACTAACGAAAATTGTTATAGAACTTTTTACACTTTATAAATCG